CCCTGATCCATGTTCCGAATTTGTTTCGTTCTGCAAAGTGTCGTGATCTTCGTTATTTTCTTCCTCTATGGAGTGTGTCAGTTTTGTAGAAAAAACGAGTGCCTCTCCTTGATGTAGAGAAGTCGTCAAGTCCTGGATAATGTCGGGGTCTGCCGGATCATTGTCTTCCTCCAAGGGGTGCGTCAATTTCGTACAAAACACGAATTCCTGCATACACACGCCTCGCATGATGCAGTTGCAGCCATCCCGTTATGCAAGTGCGCTGGAACGGTACGTGGGTAAACATCGCACGCCGGGTAGGGGTTTAAGATTTCCCCTCGTTGGAATTGCATCGTGGGTCGATAGTTAGCCTGCGGCGGTCTGGAAAACCGATATTTCGCTGCCGCAAGAAGCTCTCGATCAGGTGGCAGTAGGTTGTTTCTATTCTGACTAACACTGCTGCGGAAACTGTTACGGTTAGTGTTGTTGTTTCGATGATTGTTAGATATGTTATTGTTGTTGTTGTTGCCAAAATTGTTATTGTTGTTGTTGTGGTTGTTGTTATTTTTGCTGTTGTTGTTGTTGTTGTGGTTGTTGTTGTTGTTGTTGTTGTTGTTGTTGTTGTTGTTGTTGTTGTTGTGGTTGTTGTTGTGGTTGTTGTTATTGTTGTTTTTGTTGTTGTTTTTGAGCAAGTTTTGTTTCCTTCGCCTTCTAGCCTTTCCAGCTATTTTTTGCTGTATCAAACGGCGTGATTTTCGGTCATCGTACTCGGTCCAGTCTGCCTTCCATACCTTCCTGGTACCAAGTAGACGCCACCCTGAGTCATCGTTGTTGTTATTTAATTCCACCTCCAAGCTGGGGCACGAGTCCGATGGCGATTGCAAAGGTGCAGCGCTCCGTGTTGAGGCTATATTTGCTGACAGTGACTTCAGCTCGTCAAGAATATCGAGTTCCAGCACAGAGTTAGAGCTCATGGTACAACTTGCCGCAATGTCGAGCGACAGCTGGTTCAGTTGATTTATTTCATTACTGATATTTCGGAGCTCGGTGGATATATCTGACGTCACAGTTCTCAATGACGTAGACACACTTTTGTTGCCATCATAGCTGTATCGAAAAGCGATGTAGTGTGATTTTTGAGGGCAACGACACTGCCAGCTAAGGTGCTGTTTCTGTTAATTGCAGACAGTTCATTTTTTATGCCTACCAGCAGTACCTCCAGGCCTTCGACAGCTTCGTGAACAATTCGAGGATTTTCTTGCTGCATCGCGAAACGATGTGTCACTTCTGTGTTGGCATGCAGTTGCTCCGTTAGAAGTTTTTGTTGAGACGCTAATTGATTGAATTCTAACTTTGCTTGCAGATGTTCTTGACACGAGTCGCAGCATGGTAGAAGATAAGAATTAAAATCCCCTACTTTTTTATTGTCTTTCCTGCGTAGTGAATTCCTCTGCACGGTCACTCCTACGCAGGCTGCATGAAATGTGCGTATGCAGCCAGTGCATTTCCACATCAGCGAATCAACGGAAGAGTCAAATGAACAAATTTCACAATTCATATTGAAATGAACGGAACCAACAGCTATCGCGCGAAATTACTACAGCGAGAACGAAACGTACGCAAAAAAAAAGCACAGAACGCACGTGGCTAGGAACGATTAAAAAACGCGTCCAAACCGATTGACGATCGATCGACTAAGCAGTGATAGAAGGAAAAGAAAAGTTGACCAGTCTGTCATCTGTCAACAAATACGATAACGTAAAAACCCGAATAGTCGCTCGATTTGTCCTCTCACCAGAAAACCGGTTTGAACGCCTGTTCGGAATGCACGATCTGAAGGGATCTACGCCCTACACATTTGCAGTCAAAAATTGCAGAAACTATGGTCACAACGCACGCCAGTGCCAACAGCAGAGTTGAGACCTATCACAATCACGATCGCTAAACAGCTGATGGTAATAACGCTTTGTACATTCCTATCAATGCGCTCGTCGAAGCTCTCTCCATGACCATCCATCAAGTTGACGAAAGAAGTAAAAAGCAACTGATGAATGTCGTCTCCTGTTGTGATTCATCACCGATCTGGTCATTTCTGACAATCACGACACTCATCTGTGCTCGTTTTGAAGCAGTTGCTGCTTTGCTTGGCTTATGTGAGTGTGTTAGTGAGTGAACCCAACAGCTTCCGTTTCATGTTGCCTGCTTTGTTTGTAACTCACACAGTCGCGCCTGCCGAGACGAACTTGGAATGCGTACGCATTGTTTTCATTTTCTTCTGTCGTTTCGCTTTTTCTCATGATCGTACTGCAGAAGTCTTCACTGTTTTCGTTGTGATTTTCATCATCAGCAGCGAGTGTAACGTTTTGCTTGTGAGCAGCGACCATTACTGGTGATTGTTGTTTGCCATGGTTCTAACTATCACTGCGTGACAAAACGATCTGTTAGCGATAGTCGGTTGATGCGAAGACGAGTGTCACGTGAGTGTCATGATATTTTGCATCACTGGCCAACAGCCTTGTTCCTTTAATAAAAAAAAAAAACTATCTCGGTGGAGGTGGGGGCAGTGTCTGGAAGCCGCCGTTTAACTATTCACGATCGAACAGCCAACTACCGATTTTAATCGATACTGGATCAGATGTTTCAATATTACCGGCTACTAAACGTGAAAAATGCGACGGGCTTGCTGTACAGTCTCTTCACGCGGCAAACGGGACTAGAATCAAAACATACCGAACAAAATTTCTTAGCCCGGATCTTGGAATCAGGTGGAGCTTCCTTCCACTGCCGAACAACTATACCAAAACCACTACCAATAACCTTTTTAAATACCGAAAAATCACTTACCCGAAAAAAAAATCGTGGCATCTCCTTAAAATCATGCGTCATCCGCCACCCAGGTTTGAATCACTAAACGACGACAGAGAGTTCACCTTCAGTAAAACTGACTTTGCCGCTCTGAATCTGGCTCTCTCTTCCATAGACTGGTCCCGACTGTATGAGTCTGTTGACGTTAAGGAAACAGTTGATGTGTTCACCATCACCTTGCACCAGTTGTTCCGTGAACATGTCCCTCCACCACGTTCTCGCCCATCACCGCTATGGTCAAATAGCCATCTCCAACAACTCAAACGTGCGAGAGCAGGAGCACTGAGGAAATACTCGAGGGACAAGAACCCCTTCTGCAAGAGAAATTTCTGTGTTGCTAGTAACAGATACAAATAGTATAATCGCTTTTTGTATGCTAGATATGTTCGTCGGCTTCAATCAGATCTCAAAGAAAACCCGAAAAGATTCTAAACGTTTGTTAACAACAAAAGAAAGGAAAATGGCCTTCCAACGAACATGTTCCTGGGAGACGAATTCTCTGACTCTATTGATGGTATACGTAAACTGTTCGCTGAAAACTTTGCAAGCGTATTTGACGAACTTATGGTGGACGAAGATCAAATAAGAATTGCTCTTTCGGATGTTCCAGCGAATGCTCTCAACTTCCGCATAGGTGACATCGCAGATACGGATGTGCTCACAGCTCGGTGTCAGCTGGACCAGATGGAATTCCTGCTACCGTTCTGAAAAAATGTGCTGAGAATGTCTGTGGGCCCTTGAGATTTATCTGCAAAAAATCACTTTCAGACTCTGTATTTCCCGATAAATGGAAGGATTCGATAATGTTCCCGACGTTCAAAAAAGGAGACAAAAGAGATATCGCAAATTACCGTGGAGTAACATCATTGTGTGCTGGGTCGAAGCTGTTGGAGATACTGATGTACAACATGCTAATTCGTGCTGCTAAGATGTACATATCCCCGGATCAACATGGTTTTTTTTTCCAGGGAGATCCACTGCCACTAACTTGATTCAGTTCACATCTAGCTGCCTTCTAAGTATGCACGATGGTCATTGTCGTAAACGTATCGCAACATGACCTTACTCTCCAAATTTATTTCACTGAATGACGCATTCCAAACCCCGGGTGGGCTGATTGTCTTCCGGTGCTGACTTTGCGTTTAGTGAGTGCGTTGACAATATTGCGATCTAATACTTTGCGTTTAAAGTGGAACCTTATAATGGTAAATATGTGTATTGACACAGACTTATATTGGTATATATATATATATTTATTTTTTTTAAGTTTAAATAATTTAAACTTATTTCTTATTAATTAAATTTAATACCCGACCAGATACTATTATCAAAGTTATTACTATCAACCAACTGATCATTGATGACTGATATGACATTGATAATCAATTTTTCATTTGATTCCGTTTAAACAACTGAACTTTGGGTGTTTCGTGTGACCGTGTATTTCTACTGGCAACTCTGAATGGGTACGTTGTAAGGTTCCTTCTGAATTATTTCACCATGCTTAAATCTGTCAAATTTAATGTCAACTAATCTATCTACTTATTCTCCTTTTTTTATATTCATAATTGTATTTACTATTTGCTTGCCCTATTAACTACATCTCCCTCCTTCTCCACTCTGAATTTCGAATCAGTAAAAAATGCTTAAAAGTTTGAGCAGTAAGACTTTCTGGATTAGAATTAACAGAAACAGGAACAGAAAACGAAAACTTGCGAATCCAAACAATGAATTTTATATCGACTGTTTCTCTAGGTTTTGATTTATTGAAAATTAAAATCAGCGGTGATCTAAGTAGACATGTTTTTCTGTGTGCTGAACGTTTTCCATCAAAAGTTTCAAGATGTCAAGCTGTCTACACACTTAGAAAAAATCATGTAAATTTAGGTGTTCTGAGACTGACATATACGAGCGTCAATTTTGACATAAAATTGAGTCATAATAGACGCGAAATTCAGCTCAATCAAACGTACTTTTCGTCAGGTAACGAACTTTTCAGTCTCAGAGCACTTAATTTTACATGACTTGTTTGTTTACGTCGTATGCTTTATGTCAAAGATGGATTCCGTCACGTGTAAAATTAAGTATTTCTAAGTGTGTACAACTATATATTTTTTTGTCACTGGATTAACCTTTTTTCACTTTTAGTCATCAAGTTAGAAGAATACGCGATACACAAATTGATCATCAAACCGTTTTGGTCGCTTGATCACCTCTCGCTTTCGAAGATCCCTGGACGTCTTAGCCGAACCTGATGCTTGAATCTCGGAATCTGGCGTGGAAACCATTTCCTCCTCCGGAAGAGTTATTTGCCCACCGTTATCACCTTGAAATACTTCGTCAAATTTTTCCTGCTCAGGATGATTGTCAGATGTGATGGATTCAGGCGCTCTTTTAACTTCTCTGATGTTGCGAGCATACTGTATTCCTGTATTGCTCATGATTACAATTTTGGCTCCTTCCCTGGCTATTACTGTGAATCTTTCTGATGAAAAGGTAGGATCAGTCTTGCTTCTTTTGTTTTGCGCAAGCAACACCGTGTCACCAATTTTAGTATTTGATTCCTTGGCTCTTCGAGAAGAATCTGCATAATTCTTACTGATTTGTTTTGTATCTGCATCTTTTTCCCTCAGTTCTGAACGATCGAGCTCACTGCCGCACGGGTCTGACCACATACTGGGGAAGGTACCTCGGTACTTCCAACCAACCATCAACTCAAATGGAGTTACTCCTAGGCGTGAATGAGGGACCAGCGTATTGTGTCGGTGTACATAGTCTTGCAGTGCAGAACGCCAGTTTCTGCCGTCAAGCTTCGATGCAGCCAACGCTTTAATAATCCCTTGGTTCTGCCTTTCAACTGCCCCGTTGGATTGTGGGCTGAGTGGTATAGATTTGCGAATTTCAACTCCCTTATCTTGCCAAAAGTTAACGAACGATGCACTTTGAAAAGGAGGCCCATTGTCGCTTTGAACGATGATTGGGCACCCCCACATTTGGAAGACTTTACATAGCACTTGATTTGTACTGATTGCATCTAAACCTTTCATCTCTATCACGCACAGATATCGAGAATACGTATCGATGACCACCAGTAGCTCGCCAGAACCATAATTAGGGATCGATAGAAAATCTATCTGTAAGATCTCCCATGGACCCTCGGGTAGATCCCTGCTTGTTAACGGCAACGGAGGATACCTTTTCGATAATAGCACACATGTTTCACACTCCTTAACAAAACGAGAAACTTCCTTGGACATGCGAGGCCACCAGAAAAATTGACGCATGATACGCTTTGTGGCCACTTCTCCAACGTGACCTCCGTGAGCCAAACTAAGAGCCTTTTTACGAAGAGAAGCTGGCAAGACCGTTCTATTGTCTTTAACCACAAGCGAACGTAGAACATACAGAGTTTTCTTCTGTGCTTCAAATCCACTAAGCTCTGCTGGCCATTTCTTCGATTCCACTGCTATTCGAACTAGTTTAAGCTCATAGTCGCTTTCCGATTCATTTTCGATTTCACTCCATGTCATCTGCATGCAACCGGGATCTAGGGCATAAAGGTAATGGTTATCTTCTTCCTGATCAAATGGTAGATCTTGCTGTGTCGCTGGAATCAAACGAGACAGGGCGTCTGCCACGTTATGGCAACCTGGTACACGTTGAATCGAAAAATCATAAGGCTGCAATCTGAGCGCCCAACTCTCTGCTCTTGAAACAGCCCTTTTTCCCAATCTGTGGCTAGTATTGAAAATGTACTGATTTGCTTCTGCATCAGTGCGAATTGTGAAGCTTCTGAACAGCAGATAGAATGAGAATCTCTCAACTGCCCATACCACAGCTAGGGCTTCCCTTTGCGTCTGTGGGTATCTTTGTTCGGCGGAGCTGAGAACCTTTGAAGAACACGCAATTATCCTAGGCATGCCCTCAGCATTAAATTGAGCTAGAACCGCTCCAAGACCTATCGGAGATGCGTCTACGAATAATTCAATTCGATCATTTGGACTATAGTATCCCAATCGTTTAATGGAACCTCCGAGGGGCGGTCAACTTCATAAATCAGCACGGCGAATGAGAACGACCCAAATTTGAGTTTAGTTCACTCATAATCACATCAATGTCTCATGGTTTTCTGTGGATTCCATTTATACGGACTTAAAAGCCGCATTCGATCGTGTCAATCACCGAATCCTGCTCGCAAAACTCGAACGCTTAGGAGTTGAAACTCGGTTTGTCAAATGGATGGAATCTTACCTTGTGAACCGTCGTCTTGCGTGAAACTTGGCACTTTTGAGTCGCACACTTTCAGCAACAGCTCAGGAGTTCCACAAGGAAGCAATCTTGGACCACTGCTATTTTCCCTGTTTTTCAACGATGTCTGCTCTCTCCTACCAGACGGGTGTAAATGGAAAGAGTCACAAGCATCAGGAATCTTGGAGTGGAGCTTGATTGCAAAATGACGTTTCGGGATCATTACTCCAACAGCAATCTGGGATTCATCTTCCGCATTTCGAAAGAGTTTCGCGACCCGTACTGCTTACGATCACTGTACTACTCCCTTGTACGTTCCGGGCTAGAATCTGCTTCTGTCGTGTGGAGTCCTCACCACGAGGTCTGGATAAAAAGGATAGAAGCAGTTCAATCACGATTCGTAAGATACGCGCTCCGGTTCCTGCCTTTTAATAACCCAAACGATTTACCACCGTACGAGAGTTGCTGTCGCCTGCTAGGAATGACAACTCTGGAAAGCAGGCGAAGCCAACGGAAAGCAGTATTTGTTGCGAAGCTGCTGTTAGGAGAAATTGACGCTTCCTACATACTCTCTCGAATAAACCTTGGTATTACACCCAGACAACTCCGTCAACGGCAGATCTTGAGGCTTAACTTTCAGAGGACCGATTATGCTCCGAATGAACCTATTAGGGCAATGTGTGTTGAATTCAACCAAGTTTTTTATCTATTTGATTTCAATGTTAGTATTAATGTTTTCATTCAACGACTTCGATCAATGCTATAGTGTTAAGGGTGCCTAGTGTAAGTTAATTCATGTAGACCGTGGTTTGTCCGACGAATAATAATAATAATAATTATACCAGGTATATTAACCATACACTACGAAAAAGTCATGTAAATTTCCGTGCCCTGAGACCGACACATGCAAGCGGCCCAAATGACATAAAAATCAGTTGAAAAAAGTAAAAGGGTCTGTGCCTAGGGGCACGAACGGAAGCTTGACGTAGGACCGCTAGTGGACGGAATAAATGTGAGACTAGATGAGACTCACCCTATGTGGCTCAACCAAGACTCCCGGATATCTAGCTCAGTAGCATGAGACCCCAGAACTGTGTCACAGGGCCGGCATGCTACTTGGTAATTTGGAGGGGTACGCGGAACAAACTGTGCAGAAACTGTGGGATTTCTTACGTGATTGTGAAATTAATTCGAAGCTAAAGTGTGGGTGGAAAAAGTCTGAAAGTTTATTAAAATGGAACTATGGTGCGGATGGTTTTATTGGGCTATTATGGGGTGTGTTCTGTGGGTTTCTACTTCCTTGGTACGTACCGGTGGTGTTTGCTGGACGATGGCGGTGATTATGTTGGGCAGCTGTTGTTTGACCGCGATGGCGATCCGTGGCTTAATCACTCCGTCGACAATGGCGGATCGGTGTCTTACACTGGTCTGGAAGATGGCGCCTGGTGACTGGAGCTGTGGTCACTACAATGGCAGGTTTGAGACTTGGGTTTGAGCGTTGCGATGGCGGTTCGCAACCAGGGAATATAGCAATCCCTGTGCAGCTACTGAAGTAGCCTTTTCGGTGTCAACGACGTCTCCCTTCGTTGGCGAACATCAGCTGACCGTGACAAGGCCACCTTGGTCGAGCCGAGAAGGGTCTTCCTTCTTAACAATTAGGACTACCGAGTCCAAGGATCCTCTCCTTTGTGGCAATTATTAAGCCGGAGAGTTGAAGGTCCTTGACATTTAGACCAAGACAGTCGAGACTGACTTGGTCGAAAAGTTCCGATCGTGAGGATCTCCGTGGAATACCAAACAAAAGGTCCTAAAGGACAAATGGTTGTTTTAAACCAAGCCAAAATCATTTTTGGTCAAATTCAGTTACCTGAATGACCACCAGGAACATAAAAAGGTCGTTCTCTGCACTTTGGTTCACTTTTTCATTCCACTCACGTCTTCTAGGCACAAACGCCGGTTTACTTCTGGGCAATGGTTGACCATCCCAGCTATCAAAAGCCCTCCTTTTCTCATCCAGTTTTCAATTTGTTCTTTATTATTTCCTCCATTTTCATTCCTTGTAGCTTATCACCACCCATCCATATCATCTCCTTCGCCTATTGAGTTTTTCTACCACAGTTGATTATAACACCCTTTCGATCCTGTCACATCCAATTTATAGCTTATAAATATCATTTTCAAACTACCTACTAAGACAAATTTATACATTTTTCAATAACAGCAATTGTACCTACAATCCTACTAATCCTACTAACCCAACACTGACACTAAACAAACACTACAGTTTCCTAAAACAACATGCACAAATTAAAACCTAGGACATTGTAACTAAACGGTTACAAATGTGAAGAGCATTAAGTTCTTTTAATTGATCAATTATCTATTATATCAACTCTTTCCGTTTTTGAATTGTAGGCGTACCAAATTTGTAGTAATCTTTTCCACAGAGAAAGTTGATTACGAGAATCAATCACAACGCTTGCACCCCTGCTTCCAAGTTTGTGTAGTCGTTGGGGGCTTGTGGTTCTGAATATGGACAAACAAGCATAAGCCAACTCTTTACTGATGTAAGCTTGATGGCCCTGAAAAGTCCACTTACGCTTGGCGTGTTTAGTGTAGGTGACAGCATCACGGCCCTCATTTTCCAGGAACAGCACACCTCGTAGATCAGACCGGGGATACGTCAGACACCACCACGGCGAGCCAGACGACGGATGGTGGTTATCTCGAAGAATTTGCGATGACGATTGGCACCTCCTTTGCCACGACCAGTCAATTGTTGCTTGTTGGGTTATAGAAAAGTGGACTTACCACCTTCCTACTGTTGCTATTGATGACCACGCCGTACGAAGCGAAAATGAGCTGATACCAAACAGCAGCGCTGCTTTATATATTTTTAGGTTAAAGCAGAATGATGTGCAAGTGGTATAAAAGCTACAAAGACTCCTCCCATTATGAGTAGTTTGCTATCAAGTAGCGACACTGGATCTTTTCTTTTTGCGTATACGGTGAATGAGAACGAGTTTAGTTCACTTATAATCGCCAAAAGTGCAGGAACTCAGCGATAAGCAAATTTGTCTCATGATTTCCTGTGGAAAACCTAAAAAAACTGCCAGAAAATGAGGAAATTGACAAAAGTTTTATTCACTCTCGGAGTAGTACCAATAGATTTAGTGAATCCAACCTTTACTTTTCTCAAATACGGGAATTTTTCTCTGGAAAATCCTGGAAACACCTGGGAAAACATGAGGCAAATTTACTCATCGTTGAGTTCCTGCACTTTATTTCTTATTTCTGAGCTAACTAAACTCAAATTTGGGTCGTTCTCATTTGCCGTGATAGATATCGGCGCCGGTGGTTAGCGTGATTACCTCTCACCCCAGTAGGCCTTGGTCCACTCTCAGTCGGCGCCACCGGCTTGTTCTAAGGCATAACATCTCTGATCACGCCTTCCTTCGGGAAG